TTAAAAAAAAAAAAAAAAAAAAGTCAATAGGACAATTCTCTAGGTCAGCAATATGTCATAGGATTTATGTAATGTTTCAAATATATGTAACTGATGAGTTTTAAAAGAGTTTGCTTTCTTTTTTCCATATTTTCTTAGCAAGTCAAATCATACAAGATATATAAAGTTTCTCTTTCTCAACATCTCCTCTTACCCTCTATTTTATTCATCCAAATTGGACTATGGTCTCAACCCAAAGATGAACCACAGCCACTCCTTTTATATGCATGGGGAGAGGCAGCTGGCTATCTTAAAAGATGTATTTTAACTCTTCCTTCCCAGGAGCCCCCAGGAATGGCATACCATGTAGCCTAGTACCAGGATAGCCTCAGCAGGGCAATGGGCAGGAAGCAGGAGGAAATGGGATAGCAAGTGCTCTTCACAATGTCTGGAGGTAGAAGCTTTTCCTTATCTTCATTGGGCACTGTGCTCCACACAATTAAGCTAAGTGACCCAGACAAAATGCCATAGAAGTGACACCTCTGTCCTCAGAGTAACTTAAAACCTACCATATACTGAATGTTTTCATTTGAAAAACATCAAACTAAATGGAAGGAAAAGATAGATTTCTGCCTATCTTTGGATGACTAATCCACATTAAAAAAAGTCAATCTACTGTTAAAATTCAACTGATCTTCCTATATTGAAATAACAACTTGACAAGAGTGATATTGACCCTGCTTTGAAACAAAATAACATCATTATACACCCCTGAAAAGTTTGAAACTTTATAACATCTATTTTTCAACAAATGGTTAAATATTTCAAAGGAAATAATGTCTCTATACCTCTTCTTATCAACATACAAGGGTTTAAAAGAGTTTGTATATTCTTTAATCCATCTTCATTTATTCAAATTCAAGTAATTTGCTAAGACCCTACTTTTCCCAAGCACAGACTTGGGGACACAGAGACCATCAGATTCATTCCTGTCTTCAAACATGTTAGTCTAAAAGTTCATTCAAAAGGAACAACTGTTAAAAGGAAGTTAATGGGTCTACATTGCAGACCTCTAGGAGGAAGGTTGGGCAATCCTACTTCCGTAGTGATACTGCCTCGGAAACCCAAGGAGGGGTCGCTATGAGTCGGGTCTGACTCGACGGCACATAACAACAACAACAACAACAGTGCCTAAGGCACTTGACTGCTAAACAGAAGGCTGGCGGTTCAAACCTACCATCCACTCCTCGGAAGGAAGATGGGGCAATCTACTTCTGTAGTGATAATGCCTCGGAAACCCAAGGAGGGGTCGCTATGAGTCGGGGCCGACTCGATGGCACGTAACAACAACAACAGGCTACTTTTGAAAAAGAATCTCAAGCCCTTGAGATTGCAGACAAACTCTCCTGTTGAGGCCTAAAGAGCTCTTTGGCCTCTGCCACTCCCTCCTTCCTCCAAGTCTATGCCCTAACAGTCTTGCTCTTTGTTAATGTGGTTCCTGGGTGCTCCATGCTAGGTTAGACCCTCCTGTGAAATACTCTTTCATAGCACTTATTACAGCTATGTTTATTTTTGTAAATATAAACTACTTATCTTCTGGACTTCTCTGGAAGTTCCATGAGAGCCAGGATGGCTGATGTGTGTCACTCTGTATCTCTAGTGCCCACCAGCACCTGGCCCTAGGGAGTGCTCAGTAAACATGGTAGACCAGATGATCCAGGTGGACCGAGGTTCTCAGGGATGTGGGACCTTCTTGCCTTTCTAGCTCCCTGCTGGGGACCACCTTCCCACCCTGGCTGAACTAGGGACTCTTATTCATCCTTAGTGACTCAGATCCAATCGCAAGTGTTCCTGATATCACCACATACCACACATACCATCTCCCACACCACAGTGTCCTTCTTTTGCTTATTGTAATATAATGAAAGTGGTAGAATCATCCCACCTTGATAACTTGAGCACTTCAAATAGTCAGAAGAGGCATTAATCTTATCAATATCACACATAATACATGCTCAATAAATACTTAAGGAATGAAAGAAGTGTTGCTTTAACCACCTGCAGAAACACCCAGTACATCCAACCCTGGAGTTACACCATTCAAAATTGCACCTCTGGACTGGAGTATAGCAGTTCAGGTGCACCTACCACCTTTTCAAGACTCAGACAGTGAACCCCCATGGCTCCTAGCCTCCCTTCCTGAGGAGGTAGATAATGGCTGAAGCTGAGGCCCCTCCCAATCACATTCTCAACATCAGCATCTTGGGTTGAGATTTACATACTTGGTGAATCCCTTACAATGCAGCTCACAGGCACTGCCCCAGTCAGACTTTCAGTACAGGGAGAGGGAGCTACAGAGGCAATACTAAAGATGTCAGAATGAATTAAGTAAAAACTTTGTTCATTCATTCAGCAAATGTTCCTTGAGCTTCAGCCGTGTGCATGCACTGTGCTGAGCACTGGGAAGAGACAGAGAGGAGTTAGACACAGACTCCACTTTTGTTGTCATGAACAAAAAGCACATGCATAAGAACATCACATAATGACTCAGGTCAGAATGAGGGCAGTGGGAGAGTAAGGGAAGTGCTAAAGATGGGACAGGGGCAGAGCCATAGTACTCCGTTTGGAAGAACCCATCTACTTGTAAAATTTAGTATCAAGTAAGAAAATTAATGGGCTTTCACAAGTCTGGCACAGATTAAGTGCTCAATACACATTTACTGAGTGAATGAATGAATGCATCAATCAATCAATCAATAAATGGTAGTTAACATACTGATTTTTAAAAGAAGATATTTGGATAAAGTGTTTTCTGAAGTCTCCACTGAGTTCCAAAATTTTGTGATTCAAATTTAATCAAATGTTGGAAATTATTTTAATATTATATTCAAAAGAAGTGCACTTTTAATTAGCACATTTGTTCAATTTCTAGATCTCATGTTAAAGCAAATGCAAAATGCAAGCTGGATTTCCATGTGAGTCACAATAGGTACCCTCTTTTATGGTGATAACAGGTTCTAACTGTGCTACAGAGATGCCCAGTTTTCAAATGATATGGCTAGTGTGCAGAAAAGTAAAAAACAACAACAAAACAATGCCTCCTAAGGATGGCCAGGGACAGCCAGAGAGAAACAATGATCAATGACCTCCCTGGTCTCTCTCTGTACAAATATTTCACAAAAAATACACTCGTAGACAAAGGTACACCAGTTTATGGAACATCGTTACATAACTATGAAGAGCAACATTCCACCTTATCCTCTACCATCTATCAGCTTACCAGATGGTATATGAGTATCAGTTACGTTTCAGGCCAACTCTTTAGCTTAGTTGGACAGAAACAAAGGGAGGCCAGGTGCTTCTTCCTTTAGTGCCTTCAGAGAGGAGATGGTCTGACAAAGCAAGAGCCTGGGTCATGTTGGACAGACTAACTGATGTTTACCTGCATGCCTTCCTGGCCGGAGATGCCCACACCCACATCAGCTACCTGTAGCATACTGACATCATTGGCTCCATCTCCTAGAAACAGCAAAGGCAGGAGAAAGCATGTGAGTGAGATACACAGAATCAAACTGGGTTCCAAGAGTCCCCATGGGGCTGAATGCTGGGAAAGGGTAAAGGGAAGGATGGCAAAGAGACAGTACAGTGTTGATCCTGGTTAGGCATTTGTAGCAACCATAATGTAGGGTTTGTAACCACTTAAAGAGGTATCAGAACACTATCATAACACTAGCGCTGAGCTAACTTTTTATGTAATAGTCACTCTACAGTGTTTGCCCACATTTCACTACCCACTTTATCATGGAATCTGTCACAATGAAAGCTGCTATTCTCATGTTCCTCATTATTACAGTTACAGGATTACTCTCAGCTTCACCAAAGTTCAGCTAAGTACAACTCATACTCACATGAGCAGTTTTCTAAACTGAACACAGGAAGGGAAATTTTGTCCCATAAACTGCAGAGCTCTGCTTGCATACCAGCCAGCTGATTAGCTATTGTGTCACCACTGGATCCTCTGTGCATGTGCTAAAGAAGAACTTCTGCTTATTCAGGAAAGCTGCTGATAGAAACTGTTTAGGAGTATAGGGCATAGGTCAGATTCTTGGTATTGTTGGGGAAAGACAGGCAGAGAAATAAAGGAATATCACTCAGCAATAGAGACCTTTCTTGGCACGGGGCGGCAGATGACTCAAATCATATAACACATCACAGGTTGCAAAACTGGTAAAAGGTGCAGATATACAGTATCAAAATGACTCATAACTTGGCTACAAGGTATCTCCTACCTGTGGCTTTTCTCTCCTTTACTGGGGTGGGCTCAACAAGGGTGATAAGTTGAATTGAATTTCTGGGGAGCAATAAAAATCTCTATGGTGTTTCCCAGAACATCTATTTCAAAAGGAAATATAGTATGCAGCAAAGCTCTCTACAATACAAACACTGGACACTGAGGAGAGGACAAAAGCAGTGCTTAAACTCATGTTCAAAGAAGTGAGATAAAATTTTATAATTGGATTGCTTTTCCTTCCTCTTTTGAGATTATATATACATACATACATACATACATATATATGTATATATACATACACACACACACGCACACACAACTATCCTTCTCCTTTTATCCAGCCAAGGCTTTATTCTACTTCTTAAATGAATACTAGACTCTCATAATTAAGTGTTTGCACCAAGGGCTGTGCAGTGCTGAGAATGTGGCTTATCACTGTCTCTCACTCCAGCCTTACAAGGCAGATGACATCCATACTTTATCACTGAGGATGCTGAGCTCAGAGGAGGACATGGATGGCGAGTAGACTGAACAAAGGAGATAAGAGAGTGCAATTGTATCACTGCAGAGGGGGCCAGTAGGTCTACAAAGAAAAGCAAAGCAGCCTGCAGACACCACCTTTGTCAGAAAGCCTGAAGGTGACTCCAGGCATGTGAAGCAAAGATAGCCCAGGACAGCCTTCCCTGGGTGGTACCATCCCGGAGGGGCTGCCTGTCCTCCATCCAGCTGTAACAGGTGGCCACCGCTGAGCATTTGCACCCATCTGTGAACTCTCCTCAGCACTATCATGTCTTCCCAGCATTCACTGAACATATCTCCATGACAACCACACCAAGGCCAGCATCACTTTCTCCTCACTCTGATGGTGAACTCAGCTCGGCACTGGCTCTTCTGTCAAGGTGAGGTGCCCATTTTGAGGAGGCAACCTCAATTTCAACAAGGAGTGGTTGTCACAGAACTTTCGCAGAAAAGACTAATTATTATAGATTGAGGAGGAAACTTTATTTCAGTGCAAACTCTTATTAGGTATGGATTGTATTTTCAAGGAGATGAATTGTTTGCTCTATGGGGATCATGGTTATGACCTCTTTCTTTAGGCTACCTGCAATCTTTCCAGGCCCTGAGTAGGAAGTGGTGATTCTGAGTCTCTGAACCTATTCAAGAGCCTGAACCTGAAGCAGCTATGGACTGCAATGATACTCTGGACTGGACAACGGAAGCAGCGGACTGCAATTGCATTGTCACAGAGGGGCCTAGTAGGTCTGCAAGGAAAACTATAGATACACGCTCTTTTAAGTGACTGATGTAAAAATTAGCAGCTAGTCATTTCTTAGGACAAACAATTCTAGTATTATTAATCAAAATACTCAGCAAATTCAGCTGGCAAAAGGAATGAGAATTCTGATAACCACGAAGTACAGGTATAGGCAAAGATGTGAGGAGGAGCATGCACATATGTGTGTGTATATGTGTGTGTGTGTGAGAGAGAGAGAGAGAGAGAGAGAGACAGACAGACTTCAAGGATGGTAGGCCTCCAGAACCTTTCAGCATCATCCAGCCTTGGACTCCCAAAGGCTCAAGATGACCAGGACTCAGCTGCACAGGGTCCACCTGTCTGTCTAACTTGTCCTGGCCTTGTGCTGAGCTGGCAGTGTCCTGTGCTGCAGCCATGACTGCCTGTGACTGGTAGGTCTCTAGTCTTCCTGCTCCCAAGAAACACTAGAATCTCTGTCTTGTTAAATCAGCACCTTATTACTGAGCTTCTAAGATGTGCTTTGTAGTTTCTGTGTGGCATAAAAGGTTAGGCACTTGCCTACTAGCCCAATGGTTTTGGTGGTTCAAACCCACCCAGAGATGCCTTGGAAGACAGGCCTGGCAATCTGCTTCCAAAAGGTCACATCCTTGAAAACCCTATGGAGTACAGTTCTACTCTGTGCACATGGGGTCACTGTGAGTTGAAATTGACTTAATGGTAACAATAAAAAGATATACTTGCAGCTGTTGTTACTCTATATGCTGTACATAGAATGTGCTGCCTGTTTGATCACACTGGATGTGATTTTTCAAATGGGAAAAAGCGAGACAGTGCTCTCCCGTCTTCCGTAGAGACTGGAAGAGGATGGATAGGTTGCAGTACATCAGAAGATGGCAGCAGGTACAGTACTTGCCTATCGCTAAGGTCATAGCCTTGAGCTTGCTCCTGACCAGCTTGACCACCATGCTCTTCTGCAGCGGTGTTGAGCGGCAGCATAGGACCGACCTGCACTGCCTGGCCAGGAAGAGGAACTTGTCCTCGAGACTCTTCTCCAGGGCATAGGCCAGACTTCTCCCATCTATCACAAGGCTCAGTCTGGGGCTTGAGGTTGTGGAGACAGAGGGCTGGCAGAGTGGATAGAAGGCCACACTGATGTTCCCTGAGGTCTTCTCTGGAGCACTGCTGGAGCTCCTGGACTGCACGTACTGGAGGCACTGGTTCAGCAGGGCTGCACACGCTTCCTGAAATGGCAGGAGGGAAGCATGCACCAACCCAGGCTATGCTGCTGCAGACCCATATGACCCCTCAATGCCTCTTTAAATGTGAATGATTCCAGCCACTATAACCAGCTACAACATCTACTGTCCAGAAGGCCTTCCTCTTGATCTAAGAGTTTAGTTGAAAAGGACAGTGTTCCATGTGGAAGAGAATAGGCTGGCCTACGTGTCTGTAAGAAGCCACCTTATCACCCTTCGTCCAGAGCAGAGATGGAGGTGGTGAGGTGGACACACTGGGAGCCCTGACCATATTATTGCTGAATTCCTGGTTGGTTGGGCTGAAGAAGCCTATCAGCTGCATTCCTCTGCAGCTCTCTGAGGTCCTTACTTAGCCCTTCTTGCTTACTACTGTGATGACAAAATAGAGCACAAAGCTCTTTTATACTCATAATTATGACTATTCTATAAAGAAATGTAATATCAGCCTTCTCTCTAAACTCTCCAGTTCCACCAGGAAAATGAAAGTGTTTATTTTTATTTTTATTTTTTTAAGGCATAATTACTAGGGTTTTTAATTAGAAATGCCATTCCAAAACTCATTACTGGATCTGAATTCCAGAAAGAACAGGAAAACCTGTAGGGCAACCCATGGCAGGCACCTGGGTCAGGAGCCAGAGATGCAAGAGGGACAACTCTTCTAGGACAGAGTGTGATTAAGAAACAAACACATTGCAGGGTACTCAGGGGTAAATCCCCCATGGATAGTAAGCCCACGAGTTTAGGGACAAGGTCCCCACAGCACATTATAGAAACCCAAGTGTGCTCAACAAGCACGTAGTGAGGGCCTCTTACATGCAGAAAAGGAGCTCTGGTGGCATAGTGGTAAGGCATTTGGCTGTTAGCCAGGAAGTCAGTGGCTCAAACCCACCAGCTGCTCTATAGGCAGAAGATGAGTCTATCTACTTCCATAAAGACTTACAGCCTTGGAAACCCAATGGGTGTCACTATGATTTGGAATCAACTCGATGGCAGTGGTTTTTTTTTTTGTTGTTGTTGTTGCTGTTGTTTTAATGAGAAAAATGAGTAAGTCTAGAGAAAAAAAGACTAAGAAGACAAGCCACTCCCCCTGGGGAGATAGGCAGACAATGGGCACACATACCCATGACCACAGTTAAGTCAGAGACTTGGATGTGCAAAAGTGCTATTGGACAAGGAGAAGGAAAGACTGACTTCCAAGAGGAGAGGAGTGGGGAAGCAGTAACTAGGGAAGGATTTAAAAGGAATGTAGGGTTTTACTGTGTTAGTGACCATAAGTTCCCTGGTCCTAGCACAAAGCAAATGCCATGGATGAGTTCCAGTTCCAGGTAAGATGGAGTCAACACATATCATTCTGCCTCTCTCACTGAATAAATCCACAAAATCTTGACAAAATTCACAGAGCAGCTACTTGAGGACCCTGAAAGTAAACAGTAGCAGCTATATTGGGGAAGAACACCAGAAATCTAACTACCACTAAACCAGTGGTGAGTTTTCCATTTTACCATACTATCTGTAAAGTATGGAGAGAGAGAAAAAACTCTATAGTATTTATTTTTTTCTCTTGAGCATTACCCCTAGGCAATTTTGCTCTGGCAGCAGCAACAAAAACAGCAGGCTGACTACTGCCAAAGATTTGAAGGGGATGAATCTTCACAAAGAAGCTGTGGTCCCAAGAAGGCAGGATAGCAGTTGCTTTTTCTCTTTCTGTCCTCCCATCATTTGGCCCTGGGTACAGACATAGAGCCAGAAAGTATGAAGTGGAGCAAGGTAACTGAAATCCTGACTTCTTGTGAGAAGACAAGAAAGGGAGTCCTGGAGTATGGGAAAGAAGAGTTGAGGCTTGGCTAAATAACTCCATAATGTTAATGAATTTTGTGTTCACCTGCAAGCTGTGCATGCATGGACAGAATCCTAAACAGTATAAAAAAGACTGAGAATTGAAATAAGAAGCAGACTACTACCCAGGTTCCAAACAAGTGAGACAGATTCTAATAGCACTACAATGGCTTGCATAACAAAACTGATACTGAAAACAATATCCCAAAGACTGGTCAAAACATAGCCTGAGCACAACAAGATTGATTATCTGCTTTTAAAAAATATCAATATTCTCCATGGAATTTAAAATGATCCAGAGTGCCAACATATTCCAAATGTCCATGATACAATCCAAAAATTCTCAGCATAAAATTAAAGAAAAAAATCTCAATTCATGTGGAAAAAGACAATCAACAGAAGTCAGTGCTAAAATAACACAGACGTTAGAATTATATGACGAAAACTTCAGAGTAGGCAGTATAAAAATGCTGCAAGAAGCAGTAGTAAACATTCTGTAAAAAAAAAAATAGGAAGATAAAAGGTCTCAGAAAAAAAAAAAGGAAAATATAAAGAACAAAATTGAAATGTTAGAAATGAAAAATTCCTTAACCATAATAAAAACAAAACTCACCGGATTTTAAATAATTTATGTAGATATTCTGCCCTCAGAGAGGTGGAATATAATTCTCCAACTTATATGTGTGAGCTTTATATAGTGATTTTCTTTCAAAAAGTACAATATGAAAAGGAAGGAAAAAAGAGTAACTTTACAGTGGAGAAACCTGATAGACACTACTTCTGTAAGGTCAACATCAACAGTGATAAGTCATGTTGATAGTATGTACCTTTGACAAGATATGAAGAAAATGACACTTTACCTCTGTCGTATTCTTCCTAAAAATCTATCATGCTAGTCTAATAATGCGAAAAACATCAGGTGTCCTAATATAGAGACATTCTACAAAATACTTGACCATGACTCCTCAAATCTGTCAAGGTCATAAAAAACCAGGAGAGTCTGAGAAACCATATCAGCCAGAGGAGCCTAAGGAGATATGATGACTAAGTGTAATGGGGTATATTTGGGAGAAGCAGGTTGAATTCTGCATCAGCACAGCTCAGGTTTGCACTCTGTTGATGGGCAGACATTGCTGCAAAGGCCTTACCTTCCAGTGCAGTGAGAAACAGTTTCTAAGGTCCAGAACACAGGTTCAAAGAGAAAGTGGAGGCCACCACCTTGCTCATAGTATCTGCCCCAAATGGTATTCTATTGGCCAAGGGTGTCACCAAATTCCATATACCTGGGATTCAGCGTTGAAGGTAATGACGTCTTCATCCTGATCCAGCAGTTTGCAGGCATAAGCAATGTTGATGGCTGTCTCCTGTTTGTCGCCGGTGAGGACCCAAATCTGCAGGCCTGCTTGCCGCAATTTTGTGATGGTTTCAGGGACTCCATCTTGCAAGCGGTCTTCAATGCCAGTAGCACCTGATGGAGTGCACCAGGAAGTAAGTGAGCCCTTCCTTGCCATACTCTAGACTGTGGAGCACTCTCAGGCCTGACCTGGCTCTGCCTCTGTCCATTCAACCCTGTAAGTACCCACTTGATGATAGCAAGCCTTGTTTCATGACTCACTCTGTCAGGATATCAGTGGCAATTCAAACAGCTCATTCAAGGTAACACAGTTGAGAGCATATAGGAATAACTGTGAGTCCCTGAGTACCTTTCTCTGTTCTTACAACAAAGTATCTTGGGATTTCCCCTAACATCTTATTGTAGGGCAGTGGTGTTTCAGTGGGAGAGTTCTCACCTTTAATGCAGCAGAACCATGTTTTATTCCCACCCAATGCAGGTCATGTGCAGCTACTACCCAGGGTTCAGTGGAGCTTCCAGACCAAGACAGACTAGGAAGAAAAGGCTGGCCATCTACTTCCAAAAAATTGGCCAATAAAAACCCTGTGGATCACAATACTGTGATGCAAAACCAATCATAGGGATGACACATGACTGGGCAGTATTTTGGTCCATTTTGCACAGGGTCACCATGAGTTAAGGGCCACCTTGACAGCAGTACTTGACTGCTGCTAACATGCTATCAATCTCTGTAGCTCAAAGAATTTTACATATAACTTTAAAACCAAATGGAAAATATTATATTCTAAGGGATATAAGTATTTTCAAAAATTTCCCATCCTATACAAAGCTTCTGGTGAATTAAATCTAAAATATATGTTTTCCACCATTAGCTATCTACACAGACTCATATTGGATGATTATTCCTTTCTAAAAACCAAATCAAACATATTGACATCGAGTCAAATCTGATTCATAGCGACCCCTCCTTGGGCTGCTGAAGCGGTACCTCTTCAGAAGTAGATCGCCCAACTTCCCTTCCGAGGAGTGGCTGGTGGGTTTGAACTGCCAGCTTTCTGGTTAGCATTCAAATGCCTTAGGCACTATGCCACCAGAGTTCTCAATTGGTCCTTTAGGGCTACGTTATCCTGTGCTTCTTCCACAAACAAAAAAAAAAAAACATAAGAGGTAATGTTCTCCTTGTACTGGTCTCCAGAGCAAGAAATGCAGAAATGTGCTCTCTAGATCTACCTACTCGACTCGAAGGCACTTAACAACAACAACAACAGGCCTACCTTTGCCCTCTAGGCTGTTGAAAAGCTAGATGATTAAGCTCTGACTTCTGGCTCCAGAAGCCCAAGGGTAGCCCTCCTATCAGTTCTGCCTCTCTATGCCAGCCTGCCCCCTGTGCTGCAATGGCCTTTCCCCTTTTCCTCCTAGAACAAAACTGGATGGTAATGGGGGAAGGAGGGGGTGGTGATGGAATCATTTATATATATATATATTTTAACTTTTCCCTGAAGTATAACAAATAAAGAAATGCACAGTTCTTAAATAGTCTGCATAATATACTTTTACAAATCACAAACCTTTGTAACCAGCCCTGAGCTCAAGAAACAGAACATCTCTAGTTCTCCAGAAACCCTGCAGGGCAAGTGGCCTCCCTTCTATCTTCCAGCTCACACTGGTGCTGTATGTTGGGTCCAGGCTTCCTCCCAAGGGAATGAACCTAGAAGGCTTGGTAGGAACTTAGGAAGGGCCCAGAACAGAAGAGAGGATTGTGTGTCCAAGCTGCTCTCTGCTCTGAACCCTACTAAGATGGAATCCCCATGGGCAGGAAACCAGGATGGTGCATGGGCCCAGACCTGCTTAGGAACATAGTCATTCAGTGCTCCGTGCTGCCTATGAGCATGTCCTTGGCCACTCTGGCAGCTGGGAGGGCACCTGGCCTTGACATTCACTCCCTCCCCAGCACTCTGGCCCTAGCAGTGGGACAAAGCATATACACTGGCCTCTGACTGCCTACCTTCTAGAACCTACAGAGTCAACATCTTTCCACTCCTGATAAGTGTGGACAATCATGCCTTGTTCATACTTTGTCATATGAATTGTTCATATTGTCATATGACAATAATAATGATTATAGAATAGTAACAGTGGCTAACCTTGATTATTACTGACTAATTGCCATGCAAAAATTTTCCCAACTTCCCTGTTATGAATTGAATTGTGTCCCTTCTTCGAAAATCTGTTGAAGTCGTAAACACTGTACCTGAGAAAATGGCTTTGTTGAAAATACTGTCTCTGATGAGATTATCAGTTAAGTTAGCACTCTACTGGAGTAGGGTGGGTCCAAATCCAATTTGCATGGTGTCCTTGTAAAAGAGGGTAAGAGACACAGACACACACAGAGGAAGGAAGGACTATGAAAAAGGATCTATAAGCCATGGAACAACTGGGGCTACCAGAAACTGGGAGAGACAAGAAATGATTTCCCCTAGAGCCTTCGGAGACAACACGGACTTGCTGTTTCCCTAAATTCTGACACCCAGACTTAAGAAGTGTGACATAATAAACTTCTGGTGTTTAAGCCACCCACTCTATACTATTTTGTATAGCAGCCCCAGGGCACTAACACACTCCCTAAGATGTTGCTACTAAAATTATCCCCATTTTACAGATGTAGAAAGCAAAGGTTAGGGAAGTAGAGTTAAGGAAAGTTTGATTCCAAATCTCATGCTCTAAACTTCCAAGCTATACTGTCTGCTTCTATTATAACTCCAGTGCTTAGTGAGTATTGAATTGAAACCAGTTACCCTCTCCTTCAAGAGACTGTGGTTTTCTGAAGAAAGAGTCTTTAGGCTACTCATCCAGGGCCACCAAGAAGGGAGGCTGACTGATCAGCACAAAGGGCACTTAGTGTCCTTCTACTGACCCTCACCCATAGAATTGTGTGAGGTTGAATAAATCACAGGATATTACCCAACTTAGAAACAGCTGTGAAAAATATGTCACATTCAGAATGACATATGACATATAAAGGATCAACAAGTCTAAGGCAACAGCCCTTTCTTCAGCTTTCCAAGGTAGCTTATTTGTAATATACCTTCTTCTCACTTATTGACTATCTTGTTACCTGACATTTCGTATTTACAACAATAGTAAAAAATCTATGAAACTATTGCCCTGAAGTTATTTTTAATCCTTAAACAACAAATATCTCCTGAAGTTTTCTTAAAACTAAACAATAGTTTAGCTTAACTAATAAAGAATGTCTGCCTTGAGCATCATGCTCTTTTAAGACCAATCTATATGGGATCAAATTGACATCAACAACTTTAAAGATTAGATAGGAAACTAAGGAATTGGTGAGTTTATGCTAATGAGGGAGGAACAACTTGGAAAATGAGGGTGAGAATGTCTGCACAACTAAAAGAATGTAATCACTGTATCTGAATTGTACATGAAAAAATTGTTGAATTGGTATATGTTCTGTTGTGTGCATTCTCAAAAAACAAACAAAAAAATAAAACAAACTCTTTTTAAAAAGATAGAAAACATACTAACATGAACAGGAACTATGGACATGTTTTAGTAAATTAGCCTGCTTTCTTTTTCATCTAAGGAGAATTTGAGAAATACTCCTAAGATGCAATAGGCAGTAGTTTCTGGGGTCCAATATTTCCTCTTAATTTCCTGGGATGTGGGGGAAAGCAATGGTTGTTGAGAAGCTTCATCTCACCCATGCTTTTTGGTAGGAAAGTGATGCCTGTGATGCTGCTGCCAGGCAGAAATTAGGGGAGGTGGGTAAACCACTGGCATGATGCTTGCCATGGCCACACACAGTCCCACAGAAGTAAATCACCAGGAGGGCGGACACAAGATAGAGGTTGGTTTGTTAATCAACCTACTCAGCAATGGCAGCCCAGCCACTGACTATAGTCTGTCCCTCCCTACCATAGTGGGCCATTCTCAGAATGCAGAGATTAGCATAGTTACCCAGGAGGTGCAGGTTAGTCTCCAGGCTGATGGCTGACTGGAAGAGGAGTTCCTCACGGTTATCCAAGGAGGACTCTGCTTCCATGTGTCTTTGTAACCAGCAGGCATACTCCTCCTTACTTAAGACCTATTAGAAGAACCTAGTTAGTGCTATCAGAGACATGGACCCAGCCATCCCAGGAGCCAATGAGAGGTGGCAGCCCTTACTTACCCTCTTGGCGATGCACAGTGTGCGCAGGCCTTCCACTGCATATAGGTTGAGGTAATTCTGAGTTTTGTTTTGGATTTTCTTTTGATGCCTTCCTCTGGAGTCATCTACGTGGGAGTACAAACAGAAACACTGATGAATGAGAACTACAGAGCCAGAGTAATGCCCTCAGGCTGCCTCTGAAGCCTAGGATTCTACAGTTATTGTTGTTGTTGTTATGTGCCGTTGAATCAGACCTGACTCATAGCAACCCCTCCTTGGGTTTCCGAGGTGGTATCACTATGGAAGTAGATTGCCCAACCTTCCTTCAAAGGAGTGGCTGGTGGGTTTGAACTGCCAGCCTTCTGGTTATCATTCAAGTGCCTTAGGCACTATCATGACTCTACAAGGAGCTCTCTTTTTAGCAGTGTGGTTTATACAGCTTTCCTTCCTCTGAGAGGGCACAATAATGCCATTGCACTGGGAGGCCTCCCAGACAGTATGGGCCCCAGGTTCTGGGAAAGTGATCTTGCCCATCTTGCCTCTGGTCCAACTCCCCACGGAGAATGCCACATTTTTAAATGTATTATTTTAGAAGTCAATATATAAGAAGTTCTGGTGGTGTAGTGCCTAAAGCATTTGATTGCTAACCAGAAGGCTGATGGTTCAAACTCACCAGCCACTCTTTGGAAGGAAGATTGGGACATCTACTTCCATAGTGATACTGCCTCAGAAACCCAAGTTAGGGTCACTATGATAGGACCTGACACAATAGTAGTGAGGTTTGTTTTTCTGGATTATTTGTGTGTGTGTGTGTGTGTACATATACACACACACATATATAATTACAATTTTATTCTAATTGTGTTCTTCATTTCCTGAGTATGTTTGTGTACATGTGCTTGTGTATATATATATATGAGTGTGTGTTTTCATGACTGATAGTTAGGAGACAGGAAGTAAGTGGGGTAGAGCTATAAAAAGCATTTGGAAATATTATAATTGCTACAATATTTCATCATCATAAACCAAAAAGTAGGCTCTTAAAAATAGGTGAGATCTAAATGAAATATCCACATGTAAAGTTTCTGAGAGAGAAAAAAACAAAACAAAACAGGTGTACACTATTTATCACTCAGATACAGTTTTATAATAATAAGAGGACCCTAAAATTAACTTAGGCCTCCCAACATGAGATGGTGGCTATGCTAAGATTTGAGACTAAAAACTCCATTTTAAAGAAAAAATAACTTCTGGGTGAAGAAATGCAGCCTGCCGTTTCTGTGACTTTCAACTATACCTCTAGAAAATTACTTCGTGAACAATTTTAGAGAAAAATGTGATTTTATTTGCTTAATATTGTTTAAGAATCCACCCTGTTCAGGAAATGGGTTCAAAACAATTATTGTAACAGATGGTTAAAATAAACCTTAGAATCATGCATGCCCTCCATCCAGTCATGCAAGGAGGGTCTTGTGATTATATGGCAGCCAGATTCACCCAATTTTGTAACCATTATCTAAATGTCAACCAATCAATGAATTTGTATTGAAGTGTCTTGTATTTCTTATAAAAACTCCCTGAACTGTCCTGTTCTTGGATCACTTAGTTCAGAATCCTCTGGATCTTGTTATTCTCAATTTGCAAGTTGCTTTACCTCTCAATAAGAGCTCTTTACTTTTAATTTTAACCAGATTCTGCCATTTTTGCTCAACAACAAATGTAAACAAAGTCATAGCAAGGGTAGCAGTAAATGTTGACAAGGTGAAGTGAACAAACATGTTGAGTAAACCTGTGAGAAGACACATCCAGCATAAAAGGTGTCCATGTTGTGCTTGGAACACAAAAAAATGGAACTCCTATATCAAAACTAGGGATATTCAAAATATCAGGAATCTAGGGTGAACTTGGCACCATGAAATGCAAAAAATACAAATACAAAGTATTGGGATAAAAATTCTAATTTGATTTGGTCTCTTCAAATATTATTTGAGAAAGAAAATAAAGACTTTTGCTCCCTTTAACTGACCAAGAGATTTAGCTGCCAGCTACTAGGCATTCCCATACCTGTACCCTTTTCTGTTTTACCACCTGGCTGCTGGCTACCTAACCACTGGGAGCTGACTTGAGATTTAAGCTTCACCAAAGCCTGGGTCCTGGCAAGGTCACATACCTCCCCAAAGCCATTGTTTCTTCAGCTGGGTCAGCAAACCTGAGGTGGAGCCAAGAGATACAGTCATTCATGCTTATTATAAGGATGTTGTAAATGAGGTATTTAGGAGCTTGGAGGAATAGGCACCCCCTACACACACACTTCCCTACCTCATTATGGCTGGTGGCAATGTTGGTAAGTGAGGCAAGAATTTTGATGCAATTAATTACACATGCATTTCACAAGAGCATCCTTGGTCCCTGTGATTTACTCCAACCACTTTCAACAAGGTTAGAGGATGATCACAGAGCCAGAAATGTCTATGTGACTGGATTTTTCTGAAGTTTAATTCGTTATTTGCAAATAGTGCACATGTTTTCACATAGAGGTCAAAGTAAAAATGAGCTGTTATTTAAAAAAAGAACTTCAGCAAGAAGCATATTGTGGTAGTTAAGGTTATGTGTCAACTTGGCTGGACTTGGTTTTGTGTGGCTAGGCAGTTGGATGTAATTATTCCCCATGGTGAGACTGGTAATCAGTTCCATGGTAGAATCTATTGAAGCAGTTGAGTAGCTGCCTTAGGGATGTAGTCAACTTCCAGTATTTAAGAAGAGGCACTGAGAAAGGTTTGCAGCTTTTTGGCATGCTTGGACCCTGTGTGTAGCTAAGTCTTCATTTAGCAGCCGGCCATGCTTCTTGCCGATCTTGGACTATCTCTGGACTTGAACTAATGGCCTGCCATGTTGTTTAGTAATATTGGGATTGTGCCATTTTATTTGTTGATCTTGGGTTTATAAGCTTCAGCAGCCAGCAGGCGACTGAGTGAAGAAATGCCTCTAGCTCCAGTGGACTGGGAGCAAGAGGCAGAGCTGAAGCCCAAGGTTGACGGGCTTTCACCCAGCCCTTAGAGCTGGCACTCTGAACTCGGGCTTCTAGCCCCCAAAACTTTAAGAGAATAAATTTGTTTGTTCAAGCCATCCATCTGTTGCATTTCTGTCAGAGCAGCACCAAGCAACCAAAAAATATGTCTGGCTGTTTCTAGTATCCTTTATTGGAGTTCCTGTGGTGGACTCCAGGGCAACTGGTTAAATCACACCTCTTTAGCCTTCAGGGGCAGTGTTAGCTGTCTGCCATTTGGCTTTTGTCCATACATATCTTAAAAGTAATAATCCCCCCTAATGTAAAAACTGAATACTTTGTGTATAATTCCTGTATGATGATGGATACCTTCAGGACCATCCCATGGCCTATATGGCCCTTCTAAAGCCTCTGTCTGGGAAATCACTGGGGTCTCTGAATCTCCTGACTCTTGACTTGCCCAGTGTTTACATGACTCTCATATCAAAACCCAACTTAGTATACTGCTCAAAAATTCCCAGAGGAAGTGGAAGACTGAAATAAATGGTTTATTTATAATTTGTCCCCATCAATGTATTGGCTTTAGTAATGTGAGAGCTATAGCAATATCCAGCCATCCATCCCTTCCATGTGCAGCAGATTTCAGGCTCTGCTCCTCCTTCTTTGCGGCTCCCTCAATATTGGTTGTAAGTTTCTCTCAGGGACCTCCCCAATTCCACCTAGATGGTAAGCAGAGATGCTAGTACAAGAGCAAAGCTACCAAGGGACAGGTGTGGGGCAGGTGTGGGAGCTACAGGGTTGCAAACCTACCCAGGGACCCCACCTGACATTGGAGTTGACTCTGAGTTAGACAACGGGGGCAGTGCTGCCACCTTCCCACAGTGCCCACAGACGCTGCATGAGGGTCCTCTCTGCCTTGCAGACACTGCACAAGAGGTCTGGAGGGTGTGTTCCCTGTGGACTAGGCTGTCACTTACTGCCCCTTCCCTCTGTCCCTTAGCAGTGGGGAACAGGTACAGGTTCCCATAATGTTCTTACCACTCTGGCATATTGTGAGAAAAGCAGAGACAGTAAAGTGAGTAGTTTATAATGCTAAATTTATTAAATTTGAACAACAACAACAACAAAAAATCACTGCCGTTGAGTTGGATCTGACTTACAGCAACCCCTCCTTGGATTTCTGAGGTTGTACCACTACAGAAGTAAATATCTAAAGACATACATTATTTTGCAGTGTCCTAATATTAAGGGGTAGGTGAGATCAGAGTACTAAAATATTTTCTTTTATGAAATATTAGTGAGAATTTTTAGTAAGGTTTTTTCCTGGGTTTGTGATTTTTTTTTTCACTCATTAAAAAAATGCTCTGTTTAGTATAGTATCATCAATTGCCATAGTACCCTTGGTTGCTTCTGTTTCCTCTGCAGTGTGTTTGTGAGTTCTCTCTTACTGCCTTTTCCTTGCCTTTGCACACAGAACTGGTCCCTATCTTTTATTTTATACATACCTATGGTATTGGGTAAGGGGTCCATCACATTGTCTTTAATGCAAGGCTGTGGGTTAGAATTGGGTCTCTGGGTGGTACAAAAGATTAAAGTACTTGGTGGCTAACTGAAAGGTTGGAGGTTCAAATCCACCCACAGGGGCTTTCTGAGAAAGCCTTGGCAATCTACTTCTGAAAAATCAGCCATTTTAAACACTATGGGCACAGTTCTACTTTCACACATATGGTGGTGCCAAGAGTCAGAATTGACTAGAGGGCTACACTTTTTTTGTTTTCTTTTTTCCTTTTGGTAGATTATGACAATTGGAATTGTTTGCAGTAGAAAGGAACCTTCTGGATAATTGTCATAATGAATTGCAGAATAAAGCCTCTTAGAACGCAAAACTGGCACTTTAACTGGGTTTGTGTTCACTTAGGGAGGAAATGCAACGGAGCTGAAAGGAAAAATCCTGCTCTTCACTAGGTTGTCATTAGGCAAGTTCTTCTAAACTATTTTCAGAGATAAATTTTAAAATTTAGCTTAGCTGCCTTTTGGAGGTGGCAGTCCTCTAATGGGGAAATGGACTGCCCACTTGCAAACATCCCCAAAGTGCTCTCCCACAGAAGAATGGTCCTAAGCTTGTTGCTCGGAGTTCCTTCCT